CGATTGTCCAGATATTGTTATTGATGAAGCTGGAATAAGGGAACTTAATTCCAAAAAGCGTGCTTACCTTTCGCCACCCTTCAGGCGAGGAAATTTTACTGAGCATCAACTCAATCTCAAGATTCAGGAGCAGAAGCAGCGTATTCGCCAAATGATGGACTCCGAGCTATCCCCAAGTAGCACGGGTAGCGGATCTATCAATTTGCCATGGGAGGAAGGACTTGATGAACATAACTCTGAAGATATCCTTTGTCCAACCTCCGCCTTACCAAGTCTCGATGACTCCACTATTCCTGCATCGATCTCTCCTACCATCGGTCTTAGTGTTAGCCCATTGCCCTCTTCTTCGCCTCTTGGAAGTGATCCGTCTAAAAGTGAGTTATCTGTAATCACTCGATATTTCAATGCTCAGACATTGGTTTCAATTATTGTTTTTTTATTTTGGGCCAGCACTGTCCTAGTACTTGACCTTGTAGACCTACTAGTATTCTGTTTAGGGTGTGGCAGATACCGAATTCTCTTTGCATTTACATGATCAGAACACATATGAAGTCTGTTCTTAGCTGTGGATGGAATCGTTGATGGTAAAGGAGATCTTCGAATTATAAATGCCTGACATCTATGATTAATCTTGCCAAAACCCCCTTATGGTTAGCCCGGAAACAGTCATCAGAATATGTTTTTCACTTTTGCCCCTCATATCAAGGCATTCACTAGAGTAGAGCATTACGTTGTTTTGTTCGTGTGCATGATCGCCATCATGAGTATTATATTAGTAAATTCACGCTTATTTCGCCAACTAGACTAAGCTACGTTCATCGCAGCAAAGCTCATTTTCAAAGATATCACCATTATCTATGGTTTGGATTACTCGAGCGGGGTACTTTAGCGTAGTTCCAAAACCTTTTTAGCCTATCTTTCCTTTTTTAAATTATATATCATTTTGGTTTGATTATAGTTGATGAAGCCGAACTACCTTGTTACCTTTAGCCGGTTGCAGTTTAAATTCTCGATTTTGCAGGGCCCCTTTTTTATCCACGACCACACAGCAGTTTAGCTAGTGCCTTTTCTCATATATATTCCTTTTTCTGAGGTCTGGAGTTCCTGTAAATTTAAACTTTTTTATGCAGTTTATTAGCTCTTTTTCCGGACGTTGTGATTCTTCTTATTACTTCCCTTGTTATTGTACAAAATTATCCATTATTTGTATGCATTTACGAATCTTTCGCGACCCTAAAGTGCGTTTTCATCAAAATATTCAAGATTATTATTATGTGACTTCAATTAATATCCAAGTGTTAGGGATCAAATAAACGCAGCAGCCAGTTTCTTGAATGAGATGAACGAGTGTGGGAAATTGAGCGGGAACTATTTGTGGCTATTTGATAGATTCAATGATAGACCAGAGGAAGGAGAACAGCAAGAATAAGAGGCTTTTATAGCTTCGAATTTGATAATGACTTATTTTTCGCATGATTTATCTGCACTTAATGCGCAATACGACACGTGCAAACTATAGGATCATGTGTTTTATAAATTAGTCAGGGAAACAGCTGTCACTATCCCCTTTATTTTCATGCATCAACCTCCATCATCTACAAGAAGGATTCACTCGAAATGGAAGTAAGCTCAAAAAATACTAGTTTGCCTTATCATTATCTAACGCTAAGTGACAACATTTAGAGACTTAATTGCTCTGTAAGCCAAAGCTACCACTTGTGGAACGATAACTTCGTCGTTTGCCATTATAGCTTCGAATCCTGTTGAGGTCGAAACTGCAGTCGACTCCAAATGCGGATATTTTTCTGAAGTGATGTTTCTACTCGTTTCACTTTTAGAAATAAACGTTCATTCATTACAGTGCTGAGGCAACTCGAGATGCTTCTAGTTCTTATTCATGATCTAATGTCGATTTCATATCGTACTACTTCCACCATCCTACATAAAGACAACTTATGAATGACCCACTGCTACTGTCGGCCAATCACATCATATCCAAGCGTAGACGAGAGTCCCTTTGTATCGACTAAATCGAACTCATATCAAGCTAGATGACTCTCAGGAACGAATCATGATGTGACGCAGTGAAAGGAATTAAGCAGGAAGAATTCCTAACGGATGGGACTTTCTCAACAGCTCCATTTCCCTTGATCTGACTACATTTGCTATAGCTCACCACGCTCACTTCTACATCAATGTTTTACCTACATTTGACCTGCTGTCATACCGATAGGATTGATAGAAAACGAAAGAGCTTGTATGGGATTCAGGCGTTCGTTGGTGGGAAGTAATTACGTAGTAGCAGCTTGTGTGTATGCAAGTTGTGAGGAGAGGTTATCAGAAAGGATGGCAGAAAACAGGCACCAGAGGCAGTCATGCCGAAGATGCAGGATGATGAGATTATGTAAGGTATGGCGCAGAGATGCATAATTGGGTTGAAGTGTATCCTTTGGCAGTGTCACTGCTGCTGCAAGGCGAAAGTAGAGGGTGCAAACTTAACCTTTTAGACCGTTATAATAATTTGCTTTGGTATATTCATTGGGTTAGTGCAGTTCTCATTACGTGGATATCCGAATGACTTTCCCATAATGTGGGTGCGAAGATGGAAAGAATGCTATGCACCAGACGTGCGCAATTGCCAATATACAGAAAGATTAGATCATTCCTATCTACGGAATTGATAGTATAGATCTTGATTGTCGTAGAACCGAGCTTTAGGACCTCCCGCTTGCAATTCCTATAGGTAAAACTCTAATCTAAGGGTAGCCGTGGCGAGTTAGAGCTGATCTCTTCATCTCAAGGAAGATGATGCCATTGAGCTCTTATTCAATTCATTTTATTATACGTGATGCAGCTTATGCTTCTTTCCTGGCGGGTCACCTAGCCTGACGTGGTAATTAGATCTAGTAGCTCCAATTGGAATTTCGTATGCGCTTGGCCAGAATGTGATTTTTTGATATAACCCTTGAGTCATTCATGCATGGCCTATGTAAAAAGTGTTGGGAGAAAGATGCGGTGGTGTGTAATGAGAGGACGGGGTCTGGATCATTACGATATTTTTTTCCTTTTACATCTATGAGACTTTTAAATATGCTTATCTTTTATCCTTAGGCTTTGATCTGGGCGAGTTACTTTGGCAAGACGCCCCACCTTCTCCTAACCCCAATTCCTTTGGTGCACATTTATCTCCCAGTTCATCCCTAAGACTGGTAGACAAGAGAGAGGCTTCTATTATCAGTCGGCAACCTAGTCTCTCAACACCTATGCCAATGAAGGGTAAGTCCGGTTGCCTCAATATTTGCCTTCATGCAACCTAAAATAATTTATATTCAGAAATGTCTTAAATTTATATGCTTCATCTCCATTTTTATAAATGTTCTAGACAGTTGACTGTTTTCATTGTTATTTTCATAAATGCATTGGGCCCTTATGGATTCACCAACAAATAATTATTCCGTGACTTTATTAATATATTTATACTTAACTTACGATTATTTTATACATATCATATAGGTTTGGCACTAATATAAACACCCGTTTCTTTGCTCTGACTGAAATACAAATATAAGAATAGTCAATTCTGAAGCAGCTTAGGCTGTAATTCCAACGGCAGCTTCGAAAATCATAAGGTTCACTGAGGGAACCCGAATACAGAGGTTTTACAGACAGCGGTGAACATATTCTTTTATTCAAAAGCAAGGTCCTTCGAGGATCACCTATTAACTTTTATGGATCGTATAACAACCTGGCGATCTCAGCGACGTGGAAAAGAAAATTTGATAACAGTTTATTCGTAATGAATGCATTTGCTGATATAATTAAGGGTTTCCTTCACATCTCAATTACAGTCGTATGGACATGATCAATCTATAGGCAACCCGGGGACTTGTTGACTTTACGGACACTAACTGCATCAATAGTATCTCGGGTATGAGATTGATTGAATTCGTCATTTATCGGGTCGAGCTGTAATAGTGGCAACATCTAAGAGCTGGCCGGATTACATAAGTTATGATGGCTTGATAAAGGAAGCTGAATTTGGCTAAGATAAATGATTCAGATCGTCATTCTTGGCTGACCGTCTTGTTGCGACGCCCCAGCCTGAATTTGGGTTGCGATAGGACTTCGGGAAATTGCTCATAAATCTATGGCGCATTTTCCAAGGGTCGTGGTCATAGTGAAGCGCTTTAAAATGTAATTTAGATTGCAATGAGGGAGGAGAGGCCCGGTGTACCTATCATGCCTTGCATTCTAAGGTTATGCTTAACTATAATCCTCATGAGACGATTTCCAACCAGTTTTCTGAGTATAGACTGTCTGCTCTGTGCCGCATAGTTCCATTTAAAGGCGAATTCCTTTCCACTTCAGCTCACCAAACCTTATTAAAGATTTCAGCCATTATTTTGCCGATTATGCAGAATAGCAGGAGAGAAATATCAGTGTGTAATTGCATTGTTTCCAGAGGCCCAATGAGCCTATTCGATAAATTACAGACTTTCTCGCCCTGTCACTTTATATTCATATGAATATTTCAAGCCTTGTAGAATGTCTTCTGTTTAATTGCCTTATTCTACAAACGAAGTCCTGCTGAGACCAGAAAGAATACTTTATGCCATTTATATACTCTTCTAGCAGCAGAGATTCTTTGTTATTTATTGTTTCATATCCCATTAGTTAATACTCTCTCTGCTGAGATCT